CCAATTTGAAATTGCAGATGGTATTGCTGAGGTGGAGAATATGCAATATGGGTCAGTGCTTATGCCACATGATGTCATCCCCATTCTTCCTTTCATAGAAATATTTTGTTTGATGTGTTGAGAAGGGGTAGTAGGTCTTGATGCAATCCTTATTCAATAGGATTTGTTGGGAATCTAATATTTAAGTCTGTTTTCATTCATATAGAAATTAAAAATAGTTTCATTTTTGGATTGAGAACTAAGTAGTCAATAGACTTCTCCACGGATTTCTTTGGTGTTATCAGGAAATTTTTCTTTTTCTCTTCTGTTTAGAGTGCTCTAGCACATTATTACAAAATGATAAGTGTTGTAAACTTTTCCATAGAGTATACGAGTACTGGTAAAGTTATTGTGATTTTTATTTAAAACTGGGCGTTTCGATTTTTAATCAACTCTCACGAAATATTGTACATCCGGCTTTTACATCAGTTTACTATGTTGTCATAAGATTGCAAAAGAAGTAGATCTTGTAGATCAATGTTAACAGCTGAGTACTCCCCGTGGTATGCATCGTGGTTGGTATGTAAGAATTGCTTATGAAGGCAGCAGCTTAAGCAACAGGTGAAATATGAATTCTACGTCATACCAGTATTACACAATCACATAGGGGTATGTCATTTTAACAAGTTCTATACCTCTACCAGGAAATGGCAAGGTAAGTTCATTAATCATGTGGGTTGTTTTTTTGTGTTCGTTGTTTTGATTTATGTTCAGTTTTTTCATGTTTCAATCAGGAAATGTATCCGCTATGATGTTATACCTGTCTCAATCAGGGAAATGATACGAATCTATAGATTCCTAGACCTTTTTCAAATATCACATCAGCAAAGTCCCATGACAATAACATGTATTCATAAGTCTTTCCGAACAGTCATGTACAGGTGACTGTGATATCATGTTCTGTTATAGCTTATAGTCGTCGATCCTATTCTGGATTGATTCTTTGATTAGAGACTGTTGGAATGACAACATAAGGGTAGAAAATAGCATCAAATAAATGGGCTTTTTATATGTTTCTTTACGACATGAAATCTGCAAAAGAAAGAGTTTCTTATGTATTGGTGTTTATGGTTGTACCTGAAATATAAAGATGTCACTTTAATGCATGAAATTATAGAGAATTCATACCTTTATCCAACAATAGATGGCATGACATTAATTTATTGACCCTTTGTAAAAAGATACAAGAAAGCGACTGATGTTTTACTGCTTAACCAATCTGATGAAATTGAATCGGCCCATTGTGAGTGCTATATTCATGTGAAAGGAAGCCTAACTATTAATACAGTTTATGGTAATGATTTACTAGGGAGGTTCATTCGAATGTAGATTACTTTCCAAAGCAGCTAAATGCCATATATATCATGATTTTGTCGTTTCTATGAAATATCAGACTATACATTTTATCTTGAATCTTAAGAACAATTCAGCGTGTGTAAATTATGATTGGTGCGTGTCATTTTTAATTGTATTATCATATATCATGGTTAGCTCTGAAGAGCTAAGAAGGGTGAATATTATATTTTAACTGCTTTGATGATTGGTTATTAGAGTCATATATTTTAATTTAAGTCTTTACTTGGGTAACATTACCAGTAATATATTGCTCGCTATTTATCTACCCCCTATCTTTATTTTGGCAGTCATTGAGAAAAATATGGCTATGACAAAGTATTAATGATATTTGAGCATAACAATAAGTAATGCCTTATCATTAATGTAATAGAACATGCAACATCACGCATAATGATAACTACTCTTCAATACTTGTGGGAGGTGAATTAGTATTTTTCGTTGCCATGACAACCAATTCTCGTTAGACTAGCTTATTGTATTGCCGGTATAGCTTATGCAGATTAAGGGCCGGGATTATAAATTTGTGGGTTGATTAGTGGATATAGATTGGCAGACTTACCTAAGCTCCCTTTAATAAATTGTTGTTTAGCTATGTCAAAACTTGCATGTTGCCATGACAACTCTGATGTCTTTGCTATTGAAAGAACAAGCCATTACGTCAAACTATGTGATCTGCTTAATTTGTCAAGCATATCTTTAGCCTTCATCTCGGTGATTTGTATACATGTTCCTGGGCCAGTTTATACTGACATTTGGCCAGGAATGTGTATCTGTCTATATTTCCCATGTAGACCACATATCATTGCTACAGGTGTAATGTACATAAAACATGGCATATTATTTCATTCACTTCCATAAACCAATTGTTTGATCACTTCATGTACTTTGATTTTGATAAACAATAAATCTAACACTGACATAAAATGAAACATCCCAGGCTAATGCAATATTTTTGTTATAGTCTGAAAGGCATAACATATATCCTGCTTTAAAGTAAGAACAAAAAGTGACATCCATGTTGTCTGGTGGCCTATAAGAACAGGAAGTAGCTCACTTGATGTGGTGTCGTAGGATGACATTATACCGAATCGAATGCGTAGAACAGGGGAAAAAAATCTGCTTTCTGTCAGTTAAAGTAATAAGTGGATCTCAAACCAGAAACAAATTTTGATCAAATCTTATTCTTGTTATTAATTGTTATAATTTTGCAGTGAATTTTTTCATATGTAAAGTGCTTACACAGTGTATTTTTAAAGTACATGTATCCTCAGTTCATCTTTTAAATTAATTTTAAGGACAATGTTGTTAAGACAATGTTTTTAATTATCGTGAGAATGAATTCAATATGAGGATATTTCTTAGCTATTTCAACTCCTTTGATTTTAGAACTGATGAGGTTTTGGCCATAAGTCAGTCCCAATCTCAGCAGTTGATATGAGTTAAATGTTAGTCTTAGAAATGCCTAAATGGAAATTCAAGAATTAGGGAATTGAATAAATTAAAATATTTATGATTCGGGCATAATTATCAAGTAAATGTTATGACCTGTGGTTTCACATCATGGTCCAGAAAAACACGAGGAATTTGTATAGTTTGATCAGAGCTTCATAACAATGTATGATATCCATATAGTATTTCTGAAAAGAGGTAAGCCAAAGAATGTCGGGTAACATTGTTATATGAACCCATATGAATTAATACAATACCTTATCTCTTCCTGGATTCTGTATTGTTGGTAGATTAATGAAATGAAGATTTTGTTGGAAGTTGATTAACAGTTCTTTCAACCAACACAATTAGGATATAGAAGTTGCTATAGAAACATGCAGCTGCTCCATCTATCGTCACTTTATTCCTAAAAATAAATCTTTTTTACCTTGGTTTAACGGTAGATCTATTGCATTGAAATTCTTGATCAAACTAATTTTTTTGCTTTTACCATCTTCAATTAAATAGCAAAATATTCAAGGCATTAAATGCAGTTATATTTTAATATTATCCTTATTGTGATATCAAAACATCAGCATTCAATTTGCAAATTACTATATTTTTTTGTTTTCAATTGTTATGTTCAGGAGTTACAAGAAAAAGAATGATGACCTTCACCTTTTACACATTTACATATTTGTTTGATACAAAAATATTCTAAAGCATCTTTAAGACCAAAATATGGATAACGATCATTTCGCTTGATTATATTACTAATTTTGTTCAGATAAGTAAAAATGCATAATATATGATAGCAATTGTAACATAGAATTGATTCATGTCTGGTGCATGATATATTATGTGTCACAAGGGAAATCTATTAATTAAAAGATCACACTAATCAGTGGTTGTTATACATTCATTTTGCAAAAGATATCTTGCCGTATGCTTTTTGATTTTGTTTGAACGCTTATATGTCATTATTATTTCAAGGGAGAGTGATTATAACATGCCTGATTGATTCTGACATGATGAAATATTAATTACAATTAAGTGCATCATTAAATAAACAGTTTTACTGAGATATTGGAAATCCTGGCGTGGGAGGTGTTTAAAGGTTTATCACGACTAAATGCTGGCTGACGGACTTACATCAAATTATTGGAATATGCAGCATAGGTGTAATTGAACTGTAGACTTTTATAGAAAATCCCATGTTCTTTGAATTAGAAATTGAATAGCAAATGCATTAGATGAAGTACTAGTTGAACTTTGGTAATCGAAATGATTGAAAACGATATTTTTCAGGAATTATGGCGCAGTCACAAACTCATGCTTTGTTTTTTGAAATCTATTACATGTATGAATTCAAAATAGTTGTGTTTTCAGGGTTCTATTGCAAAACATTTTGAATGAACTTCACAAATAAAACAGTTTTGGGCAAAGTTAGTACTAATTGGTAATTTTTCCTCTGAAACCCCCAAGCAGTTTTATCAGTTTGAATTTTTTATTAATTTTCAATTTTTGAAAAAAAAAAATTTTTTGGAATCACTGTGCTATTGGCAGTAGGTGGTTAGCATTTATTATTTTATTTATACAGTTTATTTTAATTTAAATGATTATTTCAGATTTATTAATTTCGGGTTAAAGTGCATGTTGATTAAATGTTTAATACAATATATTGAATGTAACTAGAAAAATATGTCAAGGTCGGGCAGCAAACCTAAAACTCATAGTAATAAATTAGACTAAATAGTCCCCTTTGTTTTTATAAATAACTTTAATTGAAACATATGGTCAGTGACCATTTTAGAACTATGACTTTTAGAGCCATTGTCCATGCCCTCATAAGGTCATACTAACACTTTTTTTTCATTATGTCAGCCAAAATTATCTTTGAAATTACAATACATCAAAATACTAGCAACGAAGAAACTAATCATCTATTTGATTTTTCCTGACAAAAGGCTATTCTGTTTGTAGAACTGCAAGGGCTCGTGTATAATAATGATAGGATAGAAACTTGCATGATATTAATTAATATATCTGGATTGGTATGCTTACTGCCTGGCATATTGTATGAGCTAAGTGAATGTATTGACTATTAATTATGTATGATGCTGTAGGATCGCTTGGCCCTGATGCTGTATATGCAATACAATAATAGTGTATCCGCCAATAGCTCTACAGTGAAGCTGAAATAACGAACATGGACAGAGTAACAAGCTCTCCAGCTGTGATCCCCTGATTCTACACCCTAGCAATTCTACCTCTATTGGGACACAGGATACATACCAGATACTTACCAAGGAGAGACATCACCAAGCTAGATACATACAAACCAAGGAATTGAAAATACTGGATGAATTCTACCTGTATTAACTCACCATACGGTGTACTGGATTTACTTATCTAGCCTTTTAATCTATACAGAATATCTGTCAAACAGACGAGCAACCTGTAGGCATAAACAATACAGCAAAAATGACATATTACGACTAAATGGTTTGATTTTATAAGATATAAACTTGAGGAATTATATATATTAGTTTTCATACATTGGATAATAATAACATACCTTGCTTCTAAGATTGCTACCTGTACCTCAGAAGAAAAGAATGAGTACTTGTAATTATCACCTTTTCTACTTATCGTGAGAAACACAGACTGAGAAGCCTTGCTTTAGTTTGATATATATTCTGAATCCAGAAGTGCCAGCTTGACATTACCTATAAGGCTTGTTGACATATATATACATATGCCATAATATCCACACAACCGCAAGCATGACGATATATTGAAATCTGGATGGTTTAACATGTAGATAGTTATACCAAAAGGGAAAAGTGGCTTAACGTTTGAGCCACAGTGCGTGTTGATACATATTGTAAGGAGGAGAAATGATTTGTCGGTAGTGCCCCCTATAATCAGGCAAGATTGCCGAGACTTACGAGGTCCCGATGAAGCTGGAGGCAGCTGGAGATGTGATGCTGCCGGGAGAGGTGTACTTCTACGCTGCCAATTCCTGTGTACTTTGTGTACAGGGGAGTAGGCTAGATAAGGTATTATATATACATTGGAGTAGGCTAGATAAGGTATTATATATACAGGGGAGTAGGCTAGATCAGGTATTATGTGAACAGGGGAGTAGGCTAGATAAGGTATTATATATACAGGGAGTAGGCTAGATAAGGTATTATGTGAACAGGGGAGTAGGCTAGATAAGGTATTATATATACAGGAGAGTAGGCTAGATAAGGTATTATGTGAACAGGGGAGTAGGCTAGATAAGGTATTATATGAACAGGGGAGTAGGCTAGATGAGGTATTATATACAGGGGAGTAGGCTAGATAAGGTATTATATATACAGGAGAGTAGACTAGATAAGGTATTATGTAAACAGTGGAGTATGCTAGATAAGGTATTATATATACAGGGGAGTAGGCTAGATAAGGTATTATATACAGGGGAGTAGGCTAGATAAGGTATTATATATACAGGGGAGTAGGCTAGATAAGGTATTGTGTATACAAGGGAGTAGGCTAGATAAGGTATTATATACAGGGGAGTAGGTTAGATAAGGTATTATATATACAGGAGAGTAGGCTAGATAAGGTATTATATATACAGGGGAGTAGGCTAGATAAGGTATTATATATACAGGGGAGTAGGCTAGATAAGGTATTATGTATACAGGGGAGTAGGCTAGATAAGGTATTATATATACAGGGGAGTAGGCTAGATAAGGTATATATACCGGGGAGTAGGCTAGATAAGGTATTATCAGCGGAGTAGGCTAGATAAGGTATTATATATACAGGGGAGTAGGCTAGATAAGGTATATGAACAGGGGAGTAGGCTAGATAAGGTATTATATATACAGGGAAGTAGGCTAGATAAGGTATTATATACAGGGGAGTAGGCTAGATAAGGTATTATAAATACAGGGGAGTAGGCTAGATAAGGTATTATATATACAGTGGAGTAGGCTAGATAAGCTATTATATATACAGGGGAGTAGGCTAGATAAGCTATTATATACAGGGGAGTAGGCTAGATAAGGTATTATATATACAAGGGAGTAGGCTAGATAATGTATTATATATATACAGGGGAGTAGGCTAGATAAGGTATTATGTAAACTGGAGAGCAGGCTAGATAAGGTATTATATATACAGGGGAGTAGGCTAGATAAGGTATTATATATATACAGGGGAGTAGGCTAGATAAGGTATTATGTAAACAGGAGAGCAGGCTAGATAAGGTATTATATATACAGGGGAGTAGGCTAGATAAGGTATTATATAAACAGGGAATAGGCTAGATAAGGTATTATATATACAGGGGAGTAGGTTAGATAAGGTATTATATACAGGGGAGTAGGCTAGATAAGGTATTATATATACAGGGGAGTAGGCTAGATAAGGTATTATATATACAGGGGAGTAGGCTAGATAAGGTATTATACATACAGGGGAGTAGGCTAGATAAGGTATTATACATACAGGGGAGTAGGCTAGATAAGGTATTATATACAGGGGAGTAGGCTAGATAAGGTATTATACATACAGGGGAGTAGGCTAGATAAGGTATTATACATACAGGGGAGTAGGCTAGATAAGGTATTATATACAGGGGAGTAGGCTAGATAAGGTATTGTATACAGGGGAGTAGGCTAGATAAGGTAGTATATGAAAGGGGGAGTAGGCTAGATAAGGTATTATATATGTAGGAAGTAAGGAAGTAAGTAACATCTAAAATGTAGGTTGTTTGGTCAAAAGAGCAATCCACAATGAAAAACATAATGCCAATCTTCCGTACTGTAGGAAATAATGATCTCAAATAAATATGCAGGTATATTCCAGTGTTATACATATACATATATAAACAGAGTCAGGTGCAAATCCATATATTGAATTTGTTCAGCAATCTCATTCATAGTCAAAGTGATAAGTAATTATCAAAGTCATAGGAAATCAAAACTGGTATATATTTAAGTTTACTTAAGTAATTGATACATGGTTACATGTTTGAAAACATTTTCAGTATCTTGAAACATTTTGAAAACATGTAAATAAAGAGCAGACAGACTTCTATATTATTACCCGGGGGGGGGGGGTACTCCCATATATTGGCTATATGGGGACGTGCCACTAAAGTGGGTCACTTTTTAGCCATTTGTTCTGAAGTATTGTATACTCAATTCTGACCAATATTATGACATTATTTATCGGGTTTCTTTCTGCTCCCTGATTGGTTTAGAAAATGTCAGCATGGTTGGTTTGACTTTATTTAAAGGAATATTCCTTGCCAAACCATCTCTCTCCTCATATGGTAGCTATAACCATATATATGCTTGCCATGTTTAGCAAAACACGCAAAAATGTTTTGATATGGTCAAATTTGATCACTTAGAAATGTGATGCTCAATTCCAGTAAGCTGCCATCTTTTAAAATTTCACACAGGAAGTGATGTCATCGACTCTCAACTTTGCATATAGCATTAGGTGAGGAGCTATTAAGAATTACAAAACCAGCTAAATATTCTTTTTCAACTTTGTATCTTATTAATCCTTCTGAAAATCTCTTCTTTTATTCTAAGTTGACAAGCCCTGAAAATATTTTTGCACAGAAAGTAATGATCACTTGTCTAGAAGTGATTTTGTGCTACTTTCCTATACTGTTATGGGCAAGGTTATAGAAGTTGAGAGTTGATGACATCACTTCCTGCAAGAAATCTTAAAAGATGGCAGCTCACTGGAAATAAGCACTAGATTTTTAAATTATCAATATTGACCATATTAAAACATTTTCCCATGTTTTGCTAAATATGGAAACTATATATATGATTATAGCTACCATATCAAGAGAGAAAGGGTCTGGCAAGGAATATTCCTTTAAGAGCAGGTATGCCGTAACAGCTGACTGCAGTGTGGGTTGAGTCACTGGCCTGTAAAATTTTCTAAATTGCTCAGAGGTTACTTCAGCACTAACCTATGCACTCAGGGTATTGTCATAGCAACCAGGTGGTGACATTTTGTTTTGCTAATGCCTGTCATAGCCAAGGTAGTCTTGTGATGATGGGAATTTTGCCAAGGTCATAACATATTGTCTTACTTACCATTAATGTTTATGTCAAAGACATTGTCTGATTGTCACAGGGGAATGCGAAAAAGGCAATCTGCTGCTTTACTGTAATGATGTGTCACAATATTACGCACTTTGTCTCTGAGTGTGAAATGGTAGAAAATGGAATCATTCATTGTTTCTAACTTAAGTTATTATGACTTCAGAGCATTGACGTCAAAGTTGGAATTTCTTACAAAAAATGAAATTTGAGAATTTATTTTGTTTTGTTTGTTTACAGAAATATACCAGTTGTAAATTGCCAGAATGCACAAGGGGCAATATTTGAAAAACACAAATATATGCAAAATCCTCATGAACCATATTGACCAATAATACCAAGCTGCTTTAAATAAAATTATTGACCATTATAGGAAGAAGAATTCTATTTGTAATGATGTTCAATATATTTCGTTAAATATTAAAAAACTTCGAAAGGTAACATATTTTGATGATGATCGATGGTATGAGTTTACTTTTCTTATCTGATTTGTAATTTATTTCCATCTGAATTAATTTGATGTATGGTAGAAAAGCTACAGTCTTCATGTTCAAATTGAATCAGAAATTAATAGATAGTACTATTTTATCATTTCTCCTTTTGTTTTATTGAAATTAAAATGCAACAGTTGTCATGGTTACCAATCTAGATATGTTGACATGTTGCTCCCAATATATCAACATACAAAAGTCAACTTACAGTATCAGATCACAGATTACTTGTCACTTTGTGTTTGCAAATATACCCCTTTTATATAACTGTCCCTTCCAAATATGTCAGGTATGATAATTTTGGAATACTCAACTGGGGCAGTGTTTACCTATTAGACATTGATTTTATGCAAGGGAGAGGGAAGGTCATTATTATATCATATTGACAAATTATATAGGTCAAAATGCTCAGATGAACCTCTTAGGTGTTAAGCTTTCTCATATTAGTCACCTGTTAATTAGATAGTGTATAGCTTTACATCATGTGGTATATGTTAAAGTAATTATTAATAACTCAAGAAAGGATTATTACTTTTGGGGTGTACAGAATGTATAGCTTGGCTTAGAGTAGGAGAGAATGATAATGGGTGGTGGCCAATTTTCGTATATCCAACATTTAAAATGTTGATTTGCCTTTCACTTTAGTCTGCCATCAAACTCAAAGTTTGGTTTGAATTGTTACGTCGATTGATTATCAACGATCTCGGAAAAAATCATTTAAATCAACATATATTAGAAAGTTTCAAGTTTTTTCAATTTGGTTTCAAAACTTTTTCAGTTAGCATGCACATTGATCCTGCAGATATCTACCAATATTTAGGTTTGTTTCTTATAGAAATACATTCAGATTTGCATGACAGGAAAGAGTCGAAATCTTTGGTCAGTGACGACATGACCAACTTGGATATCGCCATCATTTTTGAACTCACTCGAAACCTGTACCAGTGACAGTAATGACATTTGATGACAGGCCTACTTTCACTTGAATATTCAAAAATCAACATTCTTTAGAAGTAAAATCATAGAAATCATCATTTCGTAGAATTAACTTTTATTCCAGTAGTTTTTGATTCTGCGAAAGTTTCATTTATATGTAATTGGGTCTAGCACTCAGGATTCAAGTTCCTAAACATGATCTAGTCACTGCGCCTAATTGATAAACAACATGAGAATTGCAAGAAATCTAACTCCATATGTTGCGTTTCAGTCGACAAATTAAAATATGATGGTATTTCTATCATAAATAGCTTAGTTCTTTCTTACTGCTAATTAATATGATATTGGAATTTTTATTCATCATAGTACTGGCTTATCAGTAGCTAGCATTTGTCATGTTGCATTTGAAATGGACAAAACATATGTTTGCTAAGGGAATGTTCAAATCACAATTTTTCTAATTACAGTAGTATTACTTTGTATTCTGTAATTATAATCCCATTAGAGTGATATAGTGTTAAGGTTGCTATAATGGCTGTTGAATCTTTGCTTATTTGTATACATTGAATAAGGAAGTAGCCAGTTGGTGGTGACATCCTGGGAGGTTCACTAATTTGGGTAGGTATGTGCAGCAAGGCCAATTTTGGCTTTGGGCATAAATCATGGAAACTTGAAAATCCGAGAGGAAAATAACATGGAAGCATGGTGGCATATTGTACTCTCCAACTTTTTTTTTTGTAGACTGTTGGGTGGTTGGTGTTCAACAGTCAGGGTCTGTGACAAATGGCAGATTTTGACATTTTGATATGTTAAATACCTTGTTTAAACTCTATCGCTTACTGAAATTGAAATTTAATAACTTGATTTAAGGATTTGAATTGCAAATTTTTCCAATTTTTGAATGTAGGAGTTTTCATTAATAATCACCATGCAAAGAACATAAATAATATTGATTCAGATGAATGCACTTTTAGACCCCCAGTAGCAGGCACTTTTTGAATAAAAGACCTCAAGTAACTAGGGTCTATTTTTGAATCAACATATTCATGTCTAAATGAAAGAAAATTCTTAATATCCCTCAACTTAGACCAGTTTGACCAGGACTATTTTTAAATGGCTGATAGGTACCACTGAACAGGAAATTTCTTTGTAAGAACATTATTAATTTAGATTAGAAATGTATGATGTTATAAAAACATAAAACAATCTTTAAATGAAAATATAATGTTATTCGTGTGTGATTAGTAATTATATAAAAAAATTGATGGTTGTAAATAGTAAATCGCAAATACTAGAAATCTAGTAATGTAAATAATATGCTTGAACAGATCAGAATAGTAATCCACCGTAAGAGACTAATGTGTACATATCATTCTATATACGAGAGAATTATTGGTTTCTGTATTTTCGTTATAGTGTTAATTAAATACCTATAGAAATGTATGATTTAGTGATGAATTGAACAGTGTTTAACAGTTATTTATTAGTGTGAGCTAGGAGAATACAAAAAGCTGCTAAGTGAATTGATATTTGTGATTTATTGGTGATGTCAGGTTAGAAAAGTAGCGGTTTTATGTTCAAATTAAGTCTGAAACTCTAGATATGAAATTATTTTTCCTTTTCTTTTCTTGTATTGAAATTTAGATGCAAATGATTGTCATAGTTACCAGTTAAGATAGGTTGCCTAATACTGCTTATAGATCAACTAGGTAAAACTACCCTCATTTATGAATATAAATATATTATATTGTATTTCAAGTAAAAATGTTGTTAAGGTAAATTAAGGTAAAAGTTGTATTCAAAATACAAGGTTTCCATGACGTAAAGGTTGTCATGGCAACAATTCAGTATTACATAGCAGCTAACCATCATGCCCCATTGCTTTTAGATCTGCTATGCCTGTAATGACCATCCAGGCAAAGAGGTGTACACACTGCCAATGGCAGAGCCGGAGCTTGTGGACTATACATATAACATTCCGCTCTCCTGTGACCTTATCACCATCACGGTAAGACATTGATGGTGCAAAATGTGTGTGGTGTTGGAGAGGGGGAGAGCTGGGGTTGAATGCTTTTTTTGTCATAACTATCGGTTATATGTTATATGGCCTATCTGTCCTTACTAGAAGCATCTACATTGTCTAAATCATTTGTTATGAATTAATACAATAGAAGAAAAGACATGTGAGGATGTATTACTTAATACAAGCTTCTGGTAATAATAATGTCTTCTCTCAGGTTGTAAGTTCAGAATATGTGTTCTGCATTGCAATCTAATTTTATCTTATCATATTTTATATGATCATTGTTGTCAACGTGTAATTTGTTGTATTTTGTAAATGTTCGTGTAGTGTAATTGGTATAGTGTATGATTATTTTATGTTGTAATATTAATGATAAAATGATTATGTTGTTGTTATGGTGTGCTGGTGGTGTTATAGTTATGGTATTATGATTATTATGTCTGCGTTATGGTGTGCTGATGATGTTAAATATTGAACATTGAATGGGGCAAAGTCTTATTACTTTCAATGAAGTGGGAATTCATTCAAATATGACTGATTTAAAGTTTGAATTTGTTATCAATTGAGTGATGATACTTCAATGAGGCAATGACTGAACCCCATGACCCATTTTAAAATGTTATACAGTAGTTAGTTAAACTAATGGTTAAGTGGTACGGCTATTATGAAGTGACTTATAATTTTAATTTATAGTGACCTTGGTCCTATTCTTCAAAGTATCATACAATGTTTCTTAGAGACTTTTGTTCTTTCTTACATATATGGTAACACTAATATTGAATATATAACGGTATCTCCATATTCCAAGTATTATGATGAGACCTTTCATTTCATTTCACTCACAAATTACCAGGAAATTGGGAGATAAGTAGAAAATTAATTACTATTGCTTAATGGTGAGAATACCAGAATATTTGCCCTGCTCCAACTTCACAACAATAGCTTATTTTAGAGGTAGGTGTTATTGTTCTAAGAGTTTGTTTTCAGCTAGGTTTCAGCCAATATCCTTGCTTTACTTTGAGGTGTCTTAACAAAACAATACAACCCTCTTTATGGATTATGGATATTTATTTATATCTCATTGTGAACAATTAAAGCTAAATATACTTTGATGTTTGAGAAACTATATATAGTTATTGGGATTTGATATTCCTTGGAGTTGCCATTTTCAAGTTATTCCTTTGTATATATGTCTAAGGTTCACCTCAAATCCTCTTGTAGAAAGATCAGTGCATATCACTGCTGTCTAACACAAAGCCCCTGAAATACCTCAATTTATCATGGGACAAATCCCTATTTGGCATGTTTTCTTGTGTCTGTGTACTGGACTAACTCTAGTATATGCTCGAGTGCCAGCTGTTACAGTGTTAGATGGCCCTTGGCCATGATTTTCTGCCAAAACAATAGCTAGAAAACTCTTTGCAAGAGGTCTACTCTTTAAATTAGAAATGCTTGTTTGATTTAATCTATTATCCAATCAGAATTACTTGTCAGAAAATCACTACTCAGTGAAAATTCTTAAACTACCAGGGATGTATCAAATAAATACAAATCAAATAAATGCTACTTTTAAGATTATGAGATCTCACTTATAAACATATTTGTGTAAATCTGAGGGTAGTTTGACCCGATTAATGGATATGGGGATTTTATCAATAAACGTTTGATCTTTACCTACTTCTCTAAAACTAATACATGTATGACATTGTGCATATTTGGGATATGATCCAATCATGTTATTTTATCATAAGTAGTTTTTCTCTAATGGGGCCATTTGTGAAATTAACATGTCCCGATTAAATGGGTTTATCACCACAATTATAAAAATAAAACTTACTTTACCATTAGTATAAGTGACGTGAGTAATAGAAAAAACACATTTAGGTAATGCTGTGTTTAATGCATACTTTGAAATATACATGTACTTCCTTTTTACCACTCTATATATTCATGTATTTTCCTTTTGCTAGTTTTAAACTTCTTGTCACCGGTATGTACATTAATTATGCCAATTTCTATTTGGCAGATTTCTAGAGTTTATATTATATTGACCCCCAAAACCCATTCATTTTTATCATCACCCTCCACATAAGAAACATGCAACTCAAATATTTTTCATGTCACAACTAAGAATTAGTGCAGTGACATATTGTTATATTTTTCATTTTTATGGCCTGTATTGAGCATTCAGAATCAACATCTGTAACGATTGTTACACTTTTCCACATGATAATCAGATGTTGGTTACACTTAACACAAGTGTTTTATTCACCTTCTTTGATGATCATACAATGATATATATTATATGAAATGTTCTATTTTTTTTTATTTAAATATTGTTTGCTTTATTTGACAGGTCACCCCAAAGAGCCCTGGTCTGAATCCAAATGCCAATGTCTTTCAAAGCAAGAGTCCTGCCTCTCCAGAGAGCCAGACCACCCCCCAGTGGCCTCCCCCTGCAACTCCTCCAGAGGAAACAGTAGAAACAACTGAAGCTGCCAATACTGAAGGTTAGAGATGTTTTTTAATGTTTTTTTTTTATTTATTCATTATATCTACGGAACTTAAGATATAACCTTATCAACCTTCTTCTCAACATCATTTTATAATTACAGAATAATGAACAGTCGTATCAATACCAGGAATCTGCATTAAATTGTGTGCAACAAAGTAAATAGCTTTAATTCGGGGCATTAATATTCTTAGATATTTATTTTTTTCAAAAATTCATACTTCAGAGTGTTCATAGAATTGATGTTTTCTTTGGATTTGGTAATTGCAAATTAAATTATGGTAATGTAATATGATACTCGTGGGTGGGTGCAATTTGTATTCATATCCTTTGATTAGCAAGAAATGATTTTTGTGGATCAAATCAATAAACAAGTATTCTTAAATCATCAAAAATGTACTAACATATAAATTACAAGAACTCATTGCTCATTGAAGAACCTTCATTGAAAAATCTCACAATTGTAACTTTTTGAAAAAGTCACGAACTAATATAAACTTCTTCTCTTATTTCCTACATATTAATAAGAAATATCTTTAAATCAACAATTTTTATTATCTGAAACAATACATCATTATTTCGCTTATTCTTGATATGTGGTAGAGCAGCATGTAATTGAGTACAAGATCGCTGTAACTCCAGTGATTAATGGCTCCTTGTAACTACCAGAATGCAACTTGACATTTTTATACTTTTGAGAAAATATATATTTCTATTTTTTAATCGCTGTCACATTTTCTTTTCATTGAACATTCAGAGTTTTATTTTGCTGTTGATGTATATGCCAAGTAGTGGTTTGTGTATTATCTCACTTCCAAGTTCTTGTTCACATAACTCCACTAAGTTAATGTTTCGTTCATATTCTATAGGCTGGTGCATTATGGGTATAGAATGTCTGCTCTGGATTTCAAAATGGCTTCTCAAAATGGCTACCACTTTTTGATATTATGTTCAAAATGAGAAATATGAATTATATAAAACATATTTTGTTCGGTGGGATTTGCCTCTCTGTGGAGTTTCCATTAGAAGTCTCTTATACATGGATAAGTATATACGGGTATTACATTTATCATTTGTTTTGTTGACACTAAATCCTTGTTCTGCTTGTTCAGTCGGAAATCTAAATCCTCGAGTAATTGATGAACATTTCCTTTGAATTTGATTACACAACGAAATGCTTATTTTATACATCTTCTAAATAAACTTGCCAAGATTGAATAAACTTCTGAAGATCTGCAGAGATATGTCATCGAAAATTAGAAAAGTTAGAATGAAAGGATTTATTAATTTCTCGTAAATAATTGAAATCTGAGGTGTTGACACATTATAGCAGGTGTGAACTAAGTTAATGTTCACATCAACCATAAATCAATAGGAATATTCGTTTTTATCAATTCAATACATATCGTAATACGTATCTCAATGCAAGGAAGTGTTTTGCGAAGGACCGAATCCTCCCACACCTTAGAATCTCAACATAATCTATTGGTGAAATAGCAATTTGAACGTGTTGCACCAAAGCCCTTGATATATATCATAAACCACCAAACCAATAAACCAAACTTTGATATAATCAAAACAGTAATATGAACAATATACTAGAGCATGATAAATATACTCTTCTTTTACATATGAAAATTTTGGTGATAAAATGTGATTTGAGAAATATGAATAGTTTTTCTCAAGGGTGTGTTCTCTTTTAAAGGTCACTTGTATTGATCCAATCCATTTTCTTAAAGATGGATAAAGGTTCGTAGACGTTTCTATTTGTTGTTGCAGAGTAGTCCAGTTGACTCACTGTCTATTCTATTTAAAAATACCTCAATATGTTAGTAATAATGTAATCTTTTCTCCCAAATGGCCTTGTTGAGACACACGATCAATATAAGGTATTGTCTAATCGAGTTATTATTTTTTAATGAATAACCCAGACATCAATGAAATCTGAACTTTGACCTTTTGATGTTATCCCAGATGAATTCAGATGAAGAGCAAGGATAAAGTGCTTGATGGTACATACATATTTTAGAGGGAAGTATTTCTATAACACTCTTTTATAATTAGAAAAGTATTGTCGTATTCTCATTTCATTTAATTGCCAATATTGCTCGGTCAGTGATTTGGTTACTGCATGTATCCGATAGAGGCTTTTCTATATGGCTTTGTAATCTCTTTACGTCTCGTTTTTTCATGAGATTTTAGGAGATCTGCATTTTTAACTACTTAAGACTAACATTTTCTTCTATTTGATGGCATATTTGAATTCTGTGTGTAATTTTCTGTCAAAACAACTTTGATTTCAACAGATATTTGCCTTTATTCAAATTCTAGAGATTTTCATGTTTTCTAAAAATGGTCGGGCTAAATCCCCATTGACACAATGTTGAAAACCTTCAAAAGTTCATTTACTCTTATAAGGATCGCAATTTTAATGTGAAATCCCAATCCGCATGTCAATATGGTTACATTCCAATGGTGTTTTAATAAGTTATATTTTATAAGTTGATCCAAATGGAATTACTTGTTAAATCAAGAAATTAAGTGACTCTTGCTATTAAGTTGCAATGTTATTTAGCCCTACCAATACCCATGATGCCATATATTTTTTCATTTATTTGGAAAAGGGTCAATTGCTTACTGATTGAATTTTTCTCAATAGATTTAGCATAGATGGTAGTATATCACCAATTCAGTTTTGGGAGGGATAAAAGTCTAGATTTTGTTAATGTATATTGATTTTTAAAAGGAATAATTATAACTAGAACAGCCAGAAAAATAATGTTGATTGACTTTTAAAAGAATGCTATTTTGATTTATAAAATGAAGTAAATGAAGGGGGTCAAGTTAATGTAATATCATCGTAGAACACCACCCAAAATATTCACCTGGTCTTTATTTTGCCGTAAATATGTCTAGAAAATGTCAAGCAGAGATAATTTATTCTATTGCATAGTGATACAAGCGAGATAGCTATATGCAATTAGTTTACTGAAAGTTGTGGCAAATAACCTATGGCTGATTACATATAATGGAAATAAATAATTATGTTTGTGGCGCAGTAATTAATAACCAGACACGCATGGCTGGGTTTCGCTAGCCTGGATTGCTATTATTTAGAAAATATCACGAAGGTGATAATTTTAATACATAAAAAATTATCAGACATTAGATTGTTAGTGTTTACGTACTTATTACTTTGCCGCAAATATTGACATTTTAGTTACAATATATCATACTTAAACTTGTGTTGAGATTACGGTTGATCTTACTTGGTTACTTGCTCAGACAGCCAATGTCCTGAAATGCCAACATCATCAATCATATTTGACCATTATTTTGTCATTTGGTTTTATAGTTTTTTGTGTATTATATTTCCTTCTTTATACACAGTTTTGTATAGTGATAATTCAATTCTGTTGATTTAAACATTGAATTATATACTTTAAATTAATATTTATGTGTGATTGTGATCTCGATGTTGATTTAAGACAAAACATATCGCACAACATCCTTTTCTCAAAATTAATTGATGATAATTGATTTTTTTGATTCATGTTATGAAACAAAACAAAATGAACACATTTTAGATTTTTTTTATAATATGCAATTACATGTCAGGTTGAAGGTAGCATTGATGACGCAAATCCATACAAATATATTATAAGCAATCACATACAATCACCTGTATATATCTGCAATTTGTTGCTGAAAATTGACTTGCGTCAAGCCAACGTAATAACATGTAGTTTTTTTACCGTACCATACTCCTATTCTGAGTCCCACAGTCTCAATTATATCATTAGTTCAAATGATTGATACCTGAGATATTTTAAAACATCATTAATAAAGTATATGATATAATTTTATTGTTCTCTGTATACTGCAGTATTCTCGTATAATTTTTAGCGATAGATGTCTAAAGCCTGCTGAATATTTTGAAATCAGCTATTCAAAAGAATTTGAACGTACTGACTTTGATAGAGGTAGTACATAGTATTATTCATGAATCATCAATTGTGACTTAAAATGTATCACACTTTAATGAATGTTTTGTTTTTAACAGACTCAGCTTTATAACCACTTAGTAACCACTTTGTCGCTAGTTTTCTAGTTTTTTTCTAGTTTTACGTAATAATCATTGTTATTTTAACACTGAGTCATAACCACTAATTTCCCCATTGTATTACTCACTTTTGATAATAAATAATGTATTGATGTTATGATGTAATTGTCCAGTCTGAAGGTGTAGTTGTTTCAGAAAATCCAAGCACACTTTATCTTATGTCCGAAGCCTTACGGTAGGTGTTTGCTGGCTGTAGCTTCACAAAATTGATATAGAACACCTACATTGCATTGCCTATCCTTATATCTTATGCAGCATATTTCTCTAGATTTTGGGAAGCTACCACCACCATATAGTTACTGTAGATCAAATGCGAACGAGGCATTTCCTTTGGTCCTAGGTCTGATAATAAGCTATTATTGACTTTGATTCTTTTCTCTCATTAACTCGAGCATATCACAAGGGAGATATGGGAGGGGGGGGGTTCCAGTTTGATACCTGGCCATCATTAAGTCTGACAATTGATATTGTTCACTTTGATTCTAGGGTATACTAATTACCCGTCTTCAGATATTTCAATTTGTGTATATTGACTACTTTCAGGTTATGAACATATGAATGGGGATACAGAATCCAGTTCACTGCTGCCAGGGACAGCATCGCCACAACCTTCAGACTCGCCACTTTCTAATACCTCTATCACTGACCTACCAATACTGAATGGTGTTGTGGAACAGACTCTCCCAGAGGCTGAACCTTCAAGTGCCTCTACAGGTATTTCCCCCTGGATGATTATGTCTTACGTGCACATTTAAAATTAAATATTATTTAATAAAGAAAATGGCAAACTAAAACTTTTTATTTTCATAAAAAATTGGTCTCTTGTATGACTGGTGTTCTGGGATTTTCATGAAAATTTTTTGCACCATCTTAAACATGAGAAAAATTATGAAAAACTAGAAGCGAGATAATTGGTAACTCCTGCTTTGATATATTTCATAAAATAGGCCACATATTTGAAATGAAAATAACATCCTTCTATATCTTGTATATCATAAAGTATAACAGAATATTAAGATACCTTTTGAACCAAAAACAAAAGTTGTTAAATGAATTGGTAAAACTAGAAAATGTTTCATTTTCAGTTATTAGATTTATAGGATAGGAATCCATCACATCAGGTTCACAATTTTTTATTGTTAACATTATTGTATTTTATTACCTCACAAGCGTATTGTCAATTAGATCAAACAAATTTTATGTTAGGCTTATGTTATTGTATTGCCAGTTTCCATGGAAATTACTTATCTGTCTACAGAGAAACATAACAGAAAGAGAATTGAACAACCTTATTACTGTGATGCTGATTCTAGTAACTTATAAATAAAACCTTTTGTTTTATGGCGTTATACATTCGTATTTTCGAATTGCTCAAAAAACAGTTTTGCAAATGTGTGGCTAATGAAAATATCAGTAAATGTCAACTTCATTGTTTGTAATGAGATAATTGCCAACAAATAATACAAGGTACGAGGAAGATCAGGAAATGATAGATGCTTTCCTGTGCTAGAATAGATGTTTTTGAATATATTGGTAGAGGAATATAGAACAGTGATCTCCCCAGCATTAAAGCAAGTGGACGCAGCACCCACCTGAGATTTAGAAAGGCTTGTACCCACCTGAGATTTAGAAAGGCTTGCACCCACCTGAAAATCCATTTGCACCCATTTGAAAATGAGAAAAATCATGAAAAATTGGCATATTTTGACCAATGTTGGTCTGAATTGTGAAAATGAGAATTTTGCACCCACTTGAGAAATAATCCTGTGGAGAACACTGTAGAATTATGTATTCTTCATGTGAAATAGCGACTAAAGTTGTTGCCATTGTATCGTAACCACTGATCATCTACATTGATTTGTAGGAGAGGAACTACTATCGCCACCTATCCAGGGTACCATACCCGAGAGCCAACTCTGTGCAATGTTAAAAAACCAATTGGAATACTACTTCTCAAGGTATGTCGTTCAGAAATTTTTTATTTAGTTTAACAGGCAAAGAAAACCTACTGTAAAACATTTACTTCATGAATGCAAATTTTCACAAATCTAAGTATTTCATGTCATGATGAATGAACAATTTTATATTTTATTTATTTTATTCATTGAAATCTATTCTAACGTTATTTGTTTGTAAATATAAAATCATGAAGAATAAGAGCTTTTCCCAAACAATTGATATAAAAATGATGTTTTACAGTATACCTGAAGGTTTTATCTCATTAAAGTGTTCATATTTCACGATGCTTTACTTAGAAGATCAATACTAACATTAGGATGGATGTCAGGAAATGAATTGTCATTTGTTGTATGTGAGAGGGTGGTTAAATATGTACATTTTACGTAAGTGCTGTCTCAACTGACGATACTTTTCATTGGTGCCTCCCCCGCTCTTAATCACCAATAGTTCGTGACTTGAAACTCTATGTATATTATGCCTATTTCCTGTTAGCTACCACTGATTGAATACTTCAGCGCAAGCCTTTCATGATCATATACCTCCATTCATCTGGTCTACGTCAGCTTGTTGTAGAAAGCCAATAGATATGTGATTTGATTAAGTCCTATTGACTATGAGTGTTCAGTTTGAATAAACATCTGTCATATAGCTGCTCTTTGATATAAGGACCATTATGTTACACAGAGGAAGAGATTTTCACTGGATTTCAGGAAAATAGATGTGTACTTGATCTTTATTGGCTGATGGCTGTAGGATATCTTTGCTTGTCAAATTGAACTTTTTGATATGAAATTGCATGTGTGCTATTTAGAACAAGAAAGGGAAACTTTTAAATATATTTCACTTAGGATTTTTTTTTTATTTATCCAAGTTGTAATGTTTGGTTTTAAGGGTGAAATGAATATTTTTTGCAAGTCCCAACTTTTTTTTGGGAGTATCAGGTATAAGAGAAGAAATATCCCAGAATTCAAAGATGAACCTACTTATGAACTCTGGGTATTTCCTCCTCTTATCAGGTATCAAAGTATCTGGAAGTAGTAAACCTGTGGGGGTGTCTGTCTGTCTGTTTCGAAGGCTATCAAAAATGTAAATCTTTTAAACTAAAGTCCATTCTTTATGTACATATGTTTTAAAGTATTACACCAGGCGACCGTAAGACATAATCTATAATCTAGTGATATATGTGCAATATATTGACCTTGATCACGAGCCACTTACCAATCTAACGAGGAGAGTACAGTATGGATGATTTTGCTAATTAATCTTGTTTTATCTCGGAAGTACATGTGATTTAGGCGAATTTGCTCATTATTATTTTTCCCCATCAAGCTTAAGACCCCAGATTGTAGATTACGCTTTCAATTTCCAAGTTCAGTTCATTGATTAGTTGTTTTTGTACGTCATGTCTCTTGTTCGGGAACAGGAAATTCTGTCAATCAGGCTCATGGATTTTACAATTGTATACTGGGATTGATGAAGGATATGTTTTGGAAATTTATGCTATCTTGAATCTTGATAATTTCTTGACTTTAAATGAGAGACACTTGATTTTATTTGAACCGGAATTGACTAAATGTTCAAATGTTAATGAATTTATCTGTACAGGTATTTATTGACCCGATGCAATATTATAACATGAAATCAAACAGTTTCGCTGCATTTTCTTTCTCATCTCCATGTATATTAAAATAACATGTTTGGGCGTAATGACAGTTATAAAAATAGCAGGTTTGGGGGTAGAGATTGGAACGAAAACGTTGTTGTTAATAAAGTAGACATAATATTTGTATTGATTGAATCATTGAGAACAGTTATTTGAAACTGAAAGTGACTCTACATTTTCGGGAATCTTACCTACAAACCTTTAAAATATGTATTTATTTGTCATCCTCTAATGCTGATGCATGTGTGGTTGTATGCATCTTTCTGGCTGTCTTGGTAGGTGGATGGACACCACATTGATCAAATCTTGTCATTAAAGTCCTAGGAAAACCTGTTTACTTGTTCAACTTAAGAACAGACTAATGCCAAGATCTGATTAGGTTTTAGGCATTCTAGGTAAATACATTGGCAGTCATTTCGAATTTTTGGATAAAAAAGGTGCATTTATTTATCACCGTGTCATATTTTCTTGTGCTCTTGAATCAAGGCTGGAATTCCCTTGCTACTATACCTGTGATGGTGGGTTGTAAGGTAGGAGGGAGGGGTTATACAACACTATTATTTTTACTAAACCATTCCTACACTTTAACTATGAAACTATATACTGCTTTCATTTAGTAATCATATCACATAAATAGAAACGAACATTTAGATGAATTCATCAGTTAATTATGACTAATAAAACAATATTGTAATGATTTTTATGATATACAAATTTCTTGGTTGAATAGTTCTAGTCTATAATGCTTTCTATATCTTATGATGAAACATTCTTGTTCAATAAAATGTTATGTTAAAACTAATTCTAACAGATTCATGCTGGCTATGTTCAATGCAATCAAGCTAAATTTGCTAAATTGTAATATAAAAAATTAACTTTAACCCCTTGAATATCCAGAGTGACGGAATTTCTAAATCAAATGACTTTTTGACATTTTTTTCAATTTACATAAAATATTTACTAAAATGTATGTAATTTTACTGTGTTCAGTCATCCAAAAATGAACCAAAATGAACATCAAACATGTATGTGTATTAAGATAAAAAATATGGCAAAAGTAAGCAAAAATGAAAAATGCTCAAGAGATGAAGGTAGCATATTAATAATGAGCAAAATCGAAATGATTATAGATCATTATATCAGTCTGTGTTATTTATGATATATGCAAATTTATACTGTTACATGGTAATCGAACTAACATCCAATTCCTGGTTTGCATTCAGTTTATCTAACGTGTATAGTGTTTTCCATATCTTACAATAAACAATCTTATTAGGCAAAGATGCAATGCATAATTGAGAGATAGACCAACTGAATTGCAAATAGAATACTTGATAGAACATTGATGCTTGTTTGTTGATAATAGCACTTTGCTTTTAAGCCTTCATTAATGTTTATGAGGTCATTAAAGGCAAATATGTAATTAATTTGGCATCATAAACTACTGTATAACATGTAGAAGAATTCCATACAATAAAATCATGGTAAGGTGAAAGGAACAGCTAAATATGTTCATACTGAGACATAACAAGCGTTAGGTGTTCTTTAACAGAGTCAATAGAGCCTTTAAAATATTGAACATTGACCAAGAGCCAAAAAATGTATGTAGGTGTTCTTTAACAGAGTCAATAGAGCCTTTAACCCTTAAATGATCAAAACCAATAAAAAGTTTCAGATTTTCCTTGAAAAAGTGACTGTCCCTGTGTTAATTGATATAGAATCCTATAGAGCATCAGAAAGCTCATGAAACTATATATTTTCTGAATGCTCAAGTCATCAACTATTCAGAAATGACATAAAATGGTATTTTAGACAGCTGGTATGGGTATGGTAGTTCATCAAGTCGAATTGAAAAGCGAAAAATATACCTGATTTTGCTGTGTCACAAAATAATCTGTAACACCTTGTGTAACCCCTTGTATTTGCATGTCAGCAACATAAATTGGTCAGTTTAAATTCGTAAACTCACCCACTACTTTTCACTATTGAAGTCTGAATCATCACTTTTTCCTGGCACATCGCTAATAATATGGCATGCCTCTTCAACACACACTCGTCGATATCTACAAGACGCCATTTTGTTACTCAAAATCTGTCTTTGAGTGCAAAATTGTTGTAATTATTGATGAAAAACGATCTATTTTCGAAATAAAGGTCACATCTCAAAACGAGGCTAGGTTAGGGGAATCCCCTCTTTTTCATATGTCTGCTTATTACAAATGTTAACAATGAATGGAAAGCGCGCCTCAAAAGCGCGGTTGATCATTTAAGGGTTAAAATATTGAATATTGATCAAGAGCCAAAAAATATATCCTTTCTCATAGCTGGCTTTTGTTGAATTTCACTGAAAGTCCCAGGGATTCAGGACACCCTGCCTTCAGAAGGTATTTTATTTCATAAGATGCACTTGAACTTTTTATGTGAACTGTTTCCACTATATTTTCTCTATTATATTTGGCAAACTAAAGATGAGCATAACAGTGTCCTTATAAGTGACGTGAATATCTGGGTTAGGATGTCCAATGGTAATTAGAAGATGATTGGATTAGTACTCTTCAGTAACCTCTTGTACATAGGGAAAAGTAAGATAATATATGGTAATACATGTATTTGTTGCCACTCTATTGATTTTTGATTTATGTCAGGCCAATTGCTGCTGTTAGGAAAGGTACACATTTCATTAATTGGATAAAAATTCAAATGATTCACTTAATCCATTCCCTCGTTTTCTAATCACAGAGTCATTCCTCTTTTCTACCATTTCACCCTTTCAGTAGTTCGATTTTGCATTATTAAGAGGCTCTGTAATGTAATTGAAATATGCTTGATACATGTACAAGTACAAAGAAGCATCTTTGCATCTTGCAACATATTACAATTTGAGAAGGAATGAGGTGACATGGTTAATCATGATGTCATACCAAGATTTGAGAAGAAATGAGGTGACATGGTTAATCATGATGTCATACCAAGATTTGAGAAGAAATGAGGTGACATGGTTAATCATGATGTCATACCAAGATTTGAGAAGAAATGAGGTGACATGGTTAATCATGATGTCATACCAAGATTTGAGAAGAAATGAGGTGACATGGTTAATCATGATGTCATACCAAGATTCGAGAAGGTGTGAGATGACATGGTTAATCATGATGTCATACCAAGATTTGAGAAGAAATGAGGTGACATGGTTAATCATGATGTCATACCAATATTCGAGAAGGTGTGAGGTGACATGGTTAATCATGATGTCATACCAAGATTTGAGAAGGTGTGAGGTGACATGGTTAATCATGATGTCATACCAAGATTTGAGAAGGTGTGAGGTGACATGGT